TAAAAAATTGTGGATTGAGATAAAGGTAGTACGTAAGACAGAGAAGGAAGGAGGAATGATAAAATAATACTAAAAACAAAAGAATACACAAAACAAGTGATGCACAATGCAATTGCTCGCCACCCACTAATGGTCAGCCCCCTCCCTCTTCCCCCCCCTGGCAGCACAGCCATTCCCAGCCAACCCCTCCAGTCCTATTGCACAGCACAGTGCCACACAGTGCCAACATCCCTTTGGCAGGTGGGATCAGCTGTCCTGGCTGTGCCTTCTCCCAGCTCCCAATGCTCCCCAGCCCCTCACTGAGAGTCCTTAACTCAGTGTGTGTGCTGATAAAAAACAACAGTGGTGTGCTATCAGCACTATCCTCATCCTAAACCCAAAGCACAGCACCATGCCTGCTACCAGGAAGAAAATTAACTCCATCCCAGCTGAGCCCAGGACGAGGCAGCATCGCCGCCAGCGGCCGTGATCAGGAGCACACAATCTGTGGGGATGCCCTGATGGCACAGACCATTTCACAGAGACCTCGTGTGGCCTCCACTGGGAAACACCATCCCCACAGCCTTGTAAAGGGAAAGTCCAGACAAAGAAAGCACTGAGCAGCCCCGAGGGCTGTCTGCTGACAGGAATGCTCACCAGTGAGCCAGGGCATTGCCCTTCCCAAGGCTCATACAACAGAACTGAATGCAGGAAATGCAGATCTGCTGTCAGCAAGATCCATGGTGTCTCTGAGCATTTCTACTTTTGCCACTTGCAGGTTTGGGAGGCTGCTGGGCACCGGTGTGTGACACGAGCTGGAGGCAGCAGCGTCACTCAGCCTGCCCTGTGCGGCCCGGGTGCAGCCAGGGGCTGCTGGTCCTGCAGCACCTCTCCCCATTGGGACCACTGTCAAGCATAGGGCCTTCCCACTTCTGCTCATAGGAAGATCTGGGAGGCACAGAGCTGCTTGCAAAGCCAGTAGGTAAAAAAAAACAGAGGAGAGCAAGTTCACCTGGAACAACGGGAGAACGGGCAGAAACATGCATTGAGGAGATGCAGATTTGATTGCTTTTTAAAGAGCAAGTTAAGAGAAACACTTAAATGTCCAAGCTGAAATCTAGCAAGAAATGGTATTTCAGCCATACAGTCAAGTCTCAGAATCACAGAATCACCAAATGGTTGAGGTTGGAACGGACCTCAGGACGTCATCTGGTCCAATCTCTGCTCAAATAGAGCACCTACACCTACCTGCCCAGGTATGAAGCCTCACAGACAATACGTTGTCTTGAACAGCGATGGCAGTTAGCCGTTAGGGCAGCTTCCTAGTGTCAGATGGGCTCAGTATCACCGGCAGCTTTTAAATTAGTCACGTACTTTCCAGCAGTTGAACAAGAACAGGGATTGAGAGACATGAATGCATTTGTTGTGCACCAGGGCAGACTGTAAGGACTCTGCCCATGCAGCAGAAAGGATTGGCTCTGCGTGCTGCAACGAGGCCAGTGCTGCCCTGAGGTGTGCACAGCCTGCCAGGACCCCACATCCCTGCTGCCCCGCAGCAGCCAGCACAAAGCATGGCAGCCTGCTGGGCTGCACTGCAGCATGCGCTGAGCGCTGTTGTTTGCCAGTGGATCTTTTAACAGCTTGAACATCTACATACTTGCTCCATTGGTTTTGAAGGAATATAGATTTGCTTTGCTAGCCATACCCCGTGCATGGGGCTAAATCTAGAGTCACCCAAAGATCCCGGCAAGTATTTCATCTGAAGAACGTATTTCCATGAAAAAGAGATTTTTCTGTTACCCACCCCATGGGAAGCCCTGCTCAGCCCACAGCTTAGGAGGCCCTGGGGGTCTGCACAGCCTTTGCTTGCAAGGGCCTCACTGTGAGCTGACACTGCCTCACAGAAGTGACATTCCTTTCTTACACACACCATGCCTGCAGCAGCACAGTCGCAAACTCTCCAAGAGTATTCTGCCCAGAAAAAAAATGATTAAACTGTACCAACAGAAACCTGTTGGCTCCTGCGGTGGCATCTCCATAGGAAGGATGCTCATGCCCCGCTCTTTTAGGGACAGGTGAGCAGTGATGAGTATTGCAGTGTTTGCCCCTTGGCTCTCCCGTGGCCCAGAAGATGACAGCAGTACCCAGCCAGCAGCACTGTTTGTCATCCTCTGTGCTGTCAGTGAATGCTGGAGATGCGGGAAAGCAAAGTCCCAAGGCTGCAGCCATTCTCCACCACCTACTCTGTCCCAGATTTGCAGACTTGGTCACCCAGCCACAAGACTGCCTGTGCCCTCTGGCTGCCTCCAGCACAGCCCAGGTGTCAGAAGGGAGTAGGGCTCTGTGTAGGACATGCTGGCCCAGCAGTGCCCAGCTCAGCACTCTGCCTGCAGCACCAGCGCTTCCCACCAGTGTCAGTGCTACTGCATGGTGAGGGATGCTCTTCCTCCTTCACTTTCTAGAAATCTCCTCCTCCTGGAGCAGCTCTGCTGACAGCATCTCTGTCCTTCTCTTTCCCAGGTCAGCTTTCCTACACTGACTATTCTTGTCTGACTCATATTTCTCCTTGCGATCAGCTTCTCCATTTCTACACTTTTTGTTTGATTTGTGTTTATTTGTAGTGTTTTTGCCCCAGGCAAGGCAGCAGGCAGTGGGCTGCACTGTGGTGATGCTCTGCCAGGAAAGCAGGAGATGCTTCTGACCAGCAGGTGCCAGGCATCGCCCAGCCGCAGAGGTGCGGAGCTGCATGCAGGAACAGCAGCTGAGGGGAGCAGAGCTACACGGAACTGCCACAAGAGCAGCACTCCCTGGGCAGTGCCAGGCGCAGCGCTGTGCTGCAGGCAGCGAGGCAGGAGAAGCGCACCCCAGGGTTTGGGCCCCGTGCCTAAAGAGAAAGAGCCACCGCAGTGTGCTGGAGCCAGAGCAGCGCATCCCTGTGCCGCGCCGTGATGCTGGGAGGGGGCTGCGCTGGGGCTGCGAGGGACGCATCCGTGCTCTATGAGAGAGCTGGGGACCTTCGCCAGGGGCTGCCGGTTCCACACCCTCGGGCGCAGAGTGCCGTGCCGTGCAGGGCTGGGGCTGCCTCCCCCGTTCCCGGGATACGGGCCTCGGCGAGCTTCCCGGGAAGCGGCCCTTCCCGGCCGCAGCGCGCTCCTGGGTGGCCGGGACAGCCCCTGCAGCGCCCCGGAGAGGCACCGGCCCCGTGGGGACCGGCAGGACCTACCTTCCACCACGCCGCAGAGGAAACGCGGCCGCTCGGCCATGACCGCGCAGGAACGGCCCTGCGGTGGTGGGGCGGGCGGAAGGGTGCGGGGAGGGATGGGGCGGTGCGGGGAGGGTACGAGGGTACGCGGGTAGACGGAAGGATGTGGGGGGGGATGGAGAGGAAAGCCGAGGGACGGAGAGGAACCGAGGGGGGGCGCGGACGGACCCGCGCACGGACACCGCGTGCCCGCCCCGCACAGACGCGGCCGCCGCAGCGCAGGGGGCGGCCCCGGCAGGTGGGGCCGCAGGGGGGCCGGGCGCGGGGCGGGGAGCTCGCGCAGCTCGCGGGCGGAGGTCCGGCGGCTTCGGACGGCCGCGGGCGGTGCCACGGGAGGCGCGGTGCGAGCCGCCGCCGTGCGGGGCGCCTCCGCAGCTCCGGCGCCCCGCGCCGCTTCCCTCGTGCTGTGCGGGCTGCGATGCCTCCCCCGCCCACCGCGTCCGCGGAGATCGGACTGTTTCGCCTTGCACGTGATTTACCTGCCCGCAAACATCTGGCCTCGTCACGCTGCTCTGGGCTGTTGACGCAGTTTGGCTCGTGATCCTCGCCGTCGCGCAGGTTCTGGTTTGCAGAAGTGCTGCCACGTCAGTACTTCCCTGGTCTGCAGCTGCACGGACACCGGTACCTGCGTGCGTGCAGAACCTCGTGTTCGTCATCACTGCGCTACTCTGCTCTATTTCTGGCTGCTTTTCCTGTTTGTCAGACGAATAGTGAGGCAGATCTGTGTCCTGCAGCCTCTCTGAGCCACAAGACTTTGTAATGGGAAGCAAGCACGTGGCTTTGTTACTGTGGTCCATTTGTGTGTGGGGGATGAGGCCAGGAGAAGCACTGGCGCAATCCTGCATGCAGACACTGCTGAGGGCCCTCCTAGCGGCTATCACCACCGGTAGTGCTTCCATCTAACCCGCCTGCATGGCTTTGCATAGGAAAAATGGGTGTCAGGGGCCAACAGAGCCAGGGTCTGTGGCATCTCCCTTTCCCCCTTGCAGGTTCAGGCAGTGCTAGGAAGCCAGGTGATGCTGTCTGGGCCATCTGGGGAGTGAGGAGCCTACAAGCGACTGACCGGCCACAGCCCGACAGTCAGAGTGCACTGTGGGCCACCAAAGTGTGCTCAGAGCTCCGTGACATGGCATGTAGGCAGCTGCAGAATGCAAGGAGTGCTCAAAGCATGGGAAGATTCAGCCCCTGGTACAGGCATGATGCTGCTCATAACCAGAATTATGCTCATCAATGAAATCTGCACCAGGGCAGACAATTTATACCCCATGAAAGCCAGCTCTGTGCTGCCAGGCTGGGTTACTTGAGCAAGCAGCAACTACCGGGGCTGGCTGGACACAGGCCACGCTCACTCACCTTCTGCACAAGCCTGCGCTGCAGGGACAGGCTGGGCTCCAGGTTGGCCCCTAGGCTGGGCGGGCTGTGGTGGCCAGGCGCAGCTCTGGGCTGGGAGCGCTGGGTGCCCAAGCTCCATCCTGCACCAGCAGCCAGATCCCAGTGCCACCATCCACTGGGGATGCCAGGCTGTGTGGAGCCCTTCCGTGAGGGGACAAGGACAGTGCTCCTGGGCACACACGCGCACTCACACGCACACGCTCTCTCTCTCTCTGTCTCTCTCTAGCTCTCCGCTCACCCACGCACCCGCGCGCTCCCCGCTCTCCACGCGCTCCGCGCCTCTCGCCCCCCCGCGCGTCCCCGACACGTGCGCGCCCCGCCCCGCCCCGCCCCGTCCCGCCCCTCAGCCCTGGAGCGGCGGCGGAAGCGCTGCGAGTGGCGGCGCGGGATGGAGCCGCCGGCCAAGGAGGGGCCGTTGTTCGTGCAGCACAGCAACAAGTTCGGCGCCAAGGTGAGCTCCGCGCGGGGCCGGGCCGTGGGGTGGGAGGGGGCCGGGGTCGGACGGTCTCCCGGCCGTGGGTCGAGCCGAGGCGAGCGTTCTGCGGGCGCTGCCGAGCGATGGGGGCCGCCGATCGCTCTGCACAGGCGGCCGCAGGGCCAGGGTGGGTGGCGGCCGCGCTCGGCGACGGGACGGGACGGGACGGGACGGGGCGCCCCGCGCTGACTCCGTGCCTTGCAGCGGTGGAAGCGGGGCTGGTTCGCGCTGTTCCCGGCCAGCCAGCACGGCGTCGCTCGCCTGGAGTTCTTCGATTGCAAAGACGCGGCGGGTCCGGCCGGGCGGTTGGGTACGCGGCGCCTGGACAAGACGGTGGTGCGCCTGGCGGACTGCACCAGCGTCACCCCAGCGCCCTCCGAGAGCGGCCCCCGGGCCGGCACCGCCGCCTTCCGCCTGGAGACCAGCGGCCGCAGCTACCTCCTGGCGGCCGAGCAGCAGCAGAGCGAGGAGTGGGTGGCCAAGCTGTGCGAGATCGCCTTCCCGGTGAGCGGGGCGGGGTCGGGGTCCTCGCGTCTCGGCGTCGCGGCCCCTCGGAGCGGCTCCGGCCTCAGCGGCTGCCCGGGTTGGGCTCGTGGGACCGCAGGGCTGCTTAGCACGCTGTCCCCAGGGTTCCTGCCTGTGCCCTGCACTCTGTGACATCCGCTGTGCTGCTGTGCTGCTGCACGGAGCCCTGCTCACCCCCTGCAGACACCTGGCGAGGGCTGGATGAGAACTGGGGGTGTTTCCTCCGGACCCAGCTGGCTTGGCCTTTCCTGCAGAGGCAGAAGCGGAACCCTGAGCATGGTGCAGTACTTGGCTCTGGGACCCGTCAGGCTCCTGGGAAGCACAAGCAGCTCTGGGAACAGGGCAGCCCCTCACCGAGCCTAGGGGTCACTCTCCAGTGCCAGTGTCCGTGCTGGCCCACGGCACAACCTTCCAGCTTCCCTGCCCTTCCCCAGGCTGGCTGTCAGCCATGTACTGCGTCCTTGTGAAGGCAGTTCGCAGGGCAGTGGTGGCCCACGTATGTGGGCATCCGTATGTCTCCATGAGGGTGGTCCCTGCCTGCCTGGTCCCACGTGTGTTCTGTGCTCCTTTTGGGGTGGGAGGGTTCTTTGCTGCTGGGCAGTGCTCGCCAGACTCAGGCTATGGATGCAAGGCTGGGCTTCTCTGCAGGGCCTCCCTGCAGCTGTCAGTGACTGGCCCAGCTCAGAGGCACTGGTATGGCACTGAGTGTCATTCCATGTCTGTGGCCCTGTGTCATGCAGATGGTGTTGCAGACTTTGTCCTAGGCAAGGCTCCTGGGACTCAGCTGGGAGCCCACCCCCCACATTCGGTATAGTGGGAGCAGTGATAAGGCAGGGAGTGCTTGCTTGGAGCAGTGCTGTGCTAACACCTTTGTTCACCTGGTAGCTGTCAGTTGCATGCTTAGGGTCCAGAAGCTGGTCAGCAGCTTAAGGATGTGTTTGGGAAGGTGCTGTGAGATCAAGGGGCTGTACTGAAGGCCTGCCCTGTGGAGCACAAGGCGTAGGAGCTGCTGCATATGGTCTCTGCAAGAAAGCGTAGGTGCTTGGTTGTAATTTCTGCTCATCTGCTTGGAGAGTGAGATTTTGTGTTGTGTTAATTGCTGTCCAGAAGGTGAGCAGCTTGGGAATGGGCTGGGGAGATGATTTGAGATCAGGATGGGATTTCTTTCAAGGTCCTGCAATGGAGGTGGGGCAATTCCAAGCACAGATACTTGTTGGACAGAGAATGGCTTGAGAGCAGCTCTGAGGAAAAGGATTTAGGGGTGTCAGTTGATGAAAGACTCAATGTGAGCTGTCAGTGTGTCCTTGCAGTCCAGAAGGCCAGCTGTATCCTGGGTTCCATGTAGAGAAGTGTGAGCAGCAAGTTGAGCACTTGCACTGCTCTGCTCTTGTGAGACCTGGAGCACTGCATCCAGTCCTGGAGCCTCCAGCACAAAAAGGATGTGGAGCTGTTGGAGCAGGCCCAGAGGAGGGCCACAGAGATAATCAGAGGGCTGGAGCACCTCCCCTGCAGGACCAGGGTGAGGGAGCTGAGAGTTTTCAGCCTGGAGAAGAGAAGGTTCAGAGCAGACCAGATAGTGGCCTTCCAGGACCTGAAGGGGACTACAGGAAAGACGGGGGTGGCTTTTTATAAGAGCAGGTAGTGACAGGATGAGGGGAAATAGCTTTAAACTTAAAGAGGGGGTAGATTTAGACTAGGTAATAAAAAGAACTTCTTTCCTGTGAGGATGGCGAGGTACAGGAACAGGTTGCCCACTGAGGCTGTGAACATCCCCGCCCTGGAGGCATTCCAGGCCAGGTGAATGGGGCTGTGAGCACCTAACCCCGTGGGAGATGCATCAACCCTGTGTAGCACAGGGTTGGGACTACAGGATCTTAAAGGTCACTTCCAACCCAAACCTTTCTGATTCTTTTTCTTTTGAAGATAAGGAAAGGCGCAGTCCAACAAAACCAGGGTTCTTGGCTGCCTGATTCCAGGTTGAGCTCTGCTGCGTTGGATACTTCAGGAGAACAGAAGCTGCTGCTGTCAGCTCTTGGACTTTGGGTTTTAGCAGTGTGCATCCTGTTTAGAAGCCAGAGAGAATCTGTTGGCCTTGTTTGGGCCTTACTGCTTGCACGGGAGCTCATGTGACTAGTTTTAAACTGAAACTGCAGCAGCTTGCCTTCTGCAAGATGTGCCGCAAGCCTGGCCACGTGACCCTGGGAAAGTTTCCTGCTTGGTCTGAGCTCGGACCCTCGTGCAGCAGCACAAAATCCGCTGGAAGGGCTGTTGCAGGGCATCAGCGGGCCCCTGGTTTGCATGGGGCTGCCCCAGAGGAGGGTCCCTGGGGGCACCGAGGGTGCGTCTACCATGTGGGTCCTCGGGGGACTCTGCTGTGGAGATGTGGCCTCGGGCAGAGTGCTTGTGTTGCACTTTCAGTTCTGCATATGCTAAAAGTAGAAGTGCTCGCTTCCCTCTGCAGTCTGTGCCCTAATCCTGGCGCTGTCTTCCTGGCTGTGCAGAAGCAGGACACGGGCTGCTGTGGCTGGGTCATGGCATCTGCTCCCTCTCCTGTTTGTGTAGCTAGGAGAGCAGCCGGGCCTGCGCTGTGCTTTGGGTGCTGATATCAGCCATACTGGAGCACGTCTGTGTGGAAGTGGGGCTGCTTTTGGCCTCCACAGCATGCGCCTGTGTGCCAAGCCTGAGCTACCCCAGTGGTCAAGTGGGCAGCGGTGCCATGGGCACAGGGCTCCCACGAGGGGGCTGTGTCAGTGCTGTCTTTGCTCAAGGCAGGGTCTGGAGGGAGGCCTGCTGGAAGGGCAGGGAGAAATTCCTATTTGAAAGAGTGGTCAGACATTGGGACGGGGAGGTGGTGGGGTCACGTCCCTGGAGGTGTTCAAGAGCTGTGGAGATGTGGCATTGAGAGACATGGTCAATGGGCACGGTGGAGATGAGTTGGGGTTGAGCTTGATGATCTTAGAGGGGTTTTTTATCCTCTATGGTTGTGTGATCTGCTTCCTGTCCCATGCACCGGGTTGAGGGCCATGCTAGGGTTTCCGTGCAGCCCCTCCTTCCCAGTCCTGTCTCTTTCTGTCCCTGTCACTCTGGGTGGGTATGGTCTGTGGCGCTGGGTGGGAGGGGGCTTGGCTGAGCTGTGCTGGGCTGGGTGGGCTCCTTGCACAGGGCAGTGGGGCCTGGGGGAAATGGGGCAGGGGACAGTGACGGCAAGGTGTCCTTGCAAAGCTGGTGCAGGCGGAAGGGCTGGCACTGATCCTCTCTCTCTCAACAGAGGAATGGCTCCAGAAATGCTACTGTGGCACTCCAGTGTTGTGGAGAGGGCAGCAGGGAGGCGCCAGTCCTGGAGATGGCTGTGAACTCTATCTACTATTCGAGAGATGAAGGTGGGGTCTACTGCTGCTCTTGGTGGGCTCCTACAGGCAGTGCTGAGAGCAGGGGTGGGATATCTTTGCCTCCCCTGAGCACTCCTCTTCCTGCAGTGAATGCCTTCTGGGTGACGGTGCAGCGGACTGAGGCTGCGGAGCGGTGCGAGCTGCGTGGTTCCTACGTGCTCAAGGCTGAACGTGACAGCCTCATCCTGAAGGACCCACGGACCAGTGAGATCCTCTACGTCTGGCCCTACCGGCTACTCCGGAGATACGGCCGGGACAAGGTGGGTGTGTGGATGGGCAGCCAAGGATGCTGCTCATTTCCCACTGGCTGTCCCTGGCTGCTGTGGCGTTGGTGCTGTGGACTCTGCCAAGTGCTGCGGCTGCTGCAGCCCTCAGTGACCACAGCAGCATCTCTGGGGCATCTGTGTCCCTTGGTCTGTTCCCAGCTCCTCAGTTGTGTCACTGTAGGAGCGTGAGCTGTGGTGTTCCCATCCCTCTGGAGGCCTACCTGCACAGCCTTGCTCCACCACGTAGTCCTTCCCCAGCTCCCACTGAGGCCATCGCAGCCACTGCCCACCCTTGTTCTCTCTCTCTGCACTCCAAACCCATGCTGCTGGGGAGCTCGGCACTCTGATGGCTCCCAGCATGTGGTCATTCCTCTTGTGGGCAGTACTTGGAGCAGGATGGGCTGTTTGAGACACCTGTTCTGCTCTGGATATGCTCACCTTTTGGGGCACACAGCTGTGAGCCTGACTGACCTGTGTGGGCCTATGCTTCCCCAGTGTCCTGCAGCAGCGGGTTCCCCATCTATCCTGCTGCTACACAGACTGCAAGCTGTACCTGCTATGCTGGGGAGGAAGAAAGTGGCCTCCCTGGGGCTGTTTACAGAAGCGATGCCATCAGCTGCAGCTTGCCAGCAGCATGTTCTGTGGCACTTCACCAAAACAGAAGCAGAAACTAAGCTGTTCTCAGGATGGCAGTGCCTGAGGCAGGAGCAGTGCTGAGTCACTGCAGGAGCAGGTGGCTGCACTCCCGGGTCCCCTGGTGGGGACGAGTTGGCTGTGCTTGTGCTTAGCATGGCTGACCCACAGAAACAAGTCTGTCCTCAAAGGCTCTTAAAGGAATCACAGACAGTTGCTACATGCCAGACAACACCAGAAAGACTTTTGGTCTCTCCTGGGTTCAGAGGTTTGAGAAGGGTCTGTGCATTTGCCGATGGGAAGTTATGCACGAATGTGCTCAGCCTGAGAAGTACAGCCTTGGTCAAGGCTTCTCTTTACTGTTAATGACATAAAGTACTTCAATGCTTGCAAGACATGCTTTGCTTGCTGTTGGTAACCAAACTGCTGTTTCTGGCCTTTCTCCCATGGAAAGTTGCACTCCTCTCTTGGATTCCTTACCTTCTTGCTTCCCTTCTGCCTGACTGATGCTGACTTAGCCTAGATACCCACAGCATTTTCTCCTGCTGAACTGTTTCCTTCTTGCCCTACTCAGTTCCCAGTGTGTGCTGTGGTGCCAGTTGTTGAACCTGCTGACAGAGCTCAGGGGACAGCCTTCAGCAGGGCCTGCAGCTGTGTCCTTGGGTGACTGCAGCACTGTCCCCTCAGCTGTGTGCCCCATTTCACAGCTGTTCCAGTTCTGCTGGGTGCTGTGCAGCCACTGAGCGAAGTACAACCTCAGTGCTCACAGCAGGGTGCTCAGTTGTGCTGTGCGCAGCCCGACGCTGCAGCCACGTGTGCATCAGGGGGGCACGGCCTGCATGGCTCTGGGTGTTGCTGAGCAGAACATGACTGCTGGCTTCTCTTGCAGGTAATGTTCTCCTTTGAAGCTGGCAGGCGCTGTGATTCTGGACCAGGGAACTTCACCTTCGAGACCAAGCAGGGCAATGAGATCTTCCGCTTGGTGGAAGCCTCCATCCGGGAACAGAAAGCTCAGGTGGAGGAGAACCAGCAGAGCTGTGACTCGTTGGAATCTGACAGCCCCAGTGTGGTGCTGCTTCGCCAGGCCTTGGCTGATGCACTGAGCCTGGAGCAGCCCACGGAAGGAGATGACGCTGCAGCAGCCAAGGCAGGCCTGGCACCCCGGCCTTCTGCTGCAGCAGAGGAGAGAGATGCGATATCACTGCTGAAGACCCGGATGCTGCCAGAGCCACCTGTGGTGCAGGCCAAGCCCCCCCTCACCAGCACCCCTCCACGCTCCCCTCTGCCCAAGGCACCGCGGGCTGTCCTGCCAGACAAGGATCCCTCCAGCCTCTACTCAGAGCCTCTGGACTCCGTGAAGAGCTTCCGACCCAGGCCGGACCCGCTGTACGCAGACCCCATTGACAGCAAGGCCGCGGGGGCTGCGGAGGGGGCGAATCTCCGGGTGCCGTTCCCGGGTTCCTGTGAGCAGCTGCGTGCCGAGGGCTGCGGCCTGCCGCGGAAGGAGCACATCTACGACGAGCCCGAGGGCTGCGCGCCCCGCATGCTGCCTGCCGCCGCCGGCATCTATGACGAGGCACGGCCCATAGGCGAGGCCTGGCGCACGCAGGGCCACGATGGCAAGAGCGGCTACGAGTTCCCCTACAGCCCCAGTACTGATGACTATTCAGTTCCTGCCTTCAAGACCAAGGGCCCCAAGCCAGTGCCTGCTCCCAAGCCCCTGGCAACGTTCATCTCCAAATGTGCTGAAAGAAGTGAGGACCCTGGCAGGCGGCGAGGGAATCTTGCTCCTGAGAAGGCGGCCGTCAAACCTGGCCTGAACAGCAGCAACAACAACAACACGGAGGTGCTGTACTGCCGGGTGATGAAGCCCCAGCTTGGGCAGAGGAAGGAGCAGAGTGTGGATGAGTGTAGCTTGTCTCCTGTCTATGAGGACCTAGGAGAGATATAACTCTGTTCTGCTCTGCACCTGCCTGGGGGGCTTTGCGGCCCAAACTCAACAAGGAGTGGCACAGGCGGCTGTGTTCCATGGCCTGGCACGGGGCTGGGGGCTGTGTGGGACGGGGCAGAGCCCCTCCCGCTCGTCAGCTCTGAGGGGCTTTGTCTCCTTGGGGCTGTTCCACACTCCCAGGCTCAGAGTGCACTGGTGCTGGTGCTGCTTGGCTCCAGAGCCAGCCTCGCTGACACCTGGTGGGGCAGGAGGGTGGGCTCTGCACTGTGCCTGCTGCTTTGACTCCAGAGGCTCTGGCTGTGCTATGCCTTCCTCTCTAGGCCAGCCATGGGACTAAGAGGCTCACTGCAGTGCCTGGGGGGCTGCTTGCCATCAGTCTCCAAAAGTATTTTTATACCAAATTATTTTGATATTAAAATTTGTATGTCTTATGATGAAGTGTTTGCATGTGGCATGTTAGGCACGTAGCTGGGGAGATGCTGGTGCAGTGCTGTGGTGTGTGATGCCCTGTGGAGCAGTGCTCGCGCTCACGCTGTCTGTGCCAAAGCTGCTGAGCTAAGAGCAAACCACAGAGACAGTGGGTGGCAGCTCCAGCAGTGGCTGGGATGCCCTGATGCCAAGGGATTGAGGGATGTGAGAATCAGCCCCACTGAGGCTCTAGTGTGCTAGTCAGGATGAGACGTGGGATGACCTGAAAAAATGTGGGATGAGACGTGGGATGACTCTCTTGGTCAGGGCCAGGCTCAAGGTCTGTGCTGGAGCTCAGTGGCTGTTGATCGGTCACAGGTTCTCTGCTTAACCTGGTGCATTCCTCTGCTGATTTCCCCTTTTATCCTCATGTGCTTGTGGCGGGCTGAGGATGGCCCAGTCTGAGTCCCATTGACTTTGATGGTAAATACTGTGATTGTGCTGCTTACGAGGCGAAAGGTTTGGCTATGATTTCTGCGTGCCTTGGGCAGAAACCTGCACAGGGAAAAAATACGTTGCTCTTTTGGTGTTGGTAATGGTTGTGAGAGATTTTGTCTCCTCTGTGTGGGGCTGTGCCAGGCACCTTGGTGCTGCCTGTCCCTCAGTCTTGTGCTGCTGATGGCTTCTGCAGGTTCACCAGCCTGCTGATGGAGGTGGAAGCAGAAGTCTAATATTCCTGTGCAGAGGACTAAGCGTGAATTCAGTAGCCCAAGCTCACACCCAGAGAGCCACAAGCTGGTAGCAAGGTGTGCAGGGCTGTGTTCACATTCCCAAACTGGTGAGATGGAAGCGAGCAGTGGGTTCTGACTGGGTGTGTGATGTCTGGGTTGCAGGAGGAGCTTCTGTAAAAGTGCAGCAACAACTTGAACCAGTTTGTTGTTGTTGTCTTGTGCTCCATACTCTTTTCTGCTGGGGTTTTGCTGCAGTAAACTGGAGAAACACCTCAGAGGTGTTTTGGGAACCAGAGAGAGGCTGATATTGTTCCTGCCCAGGACAGGGGTGTGCCTGCTCCCTGCTGGGGTGGGGTGACCCCATGCAGGTGCTTCAAGTCCTAGGAATTCTCAGGGAAGAGCTCTGGGCATTGCATTGGGGGGCACCTGCCCATAAACCTTCTTTGTGACTGCAGTGTAGGGCTCTAACGCTGGAGTGGTGAAGTGCAGCCTCCAAGGAGCTGAGCTCTGGGCTCCACCTTACACACTGTGGTGGGTACTCGCACATCTGCATCACTGCAGTTGCTGTGTCTGAGGATACTGAGTGTGTCTGACCCAGCTTTCACTGTAAAGAATGCCAGAGAAGAGGGAAAGTGCTCCAGTATCTGTGCTAGATTCAGTGCTCTCCCTGCAGCCCTGCACTCCTCCTGGATGGGATGTTTGCTCTTCTTGCTTCAGTGACATCTTCTCTCCGTTAACTGGCCTGAAACTAAAAGGTAGGCGCACAAGGCAACATTTGTCTTCTGCATTTGTCCTGCTTTCTTTACAGGCATTGCCACATGTCAACAGTGCGTGCAGCACAGAAAGCTCTTGCAGATGTGGAGAGCAATCCTTTTTCTGGCTCACTGTTGTAGATCAGGCTTGCCATCTCCCTCAGGCTGCTGCTCTGCGCTCCAACTTTTCTCCTTTCTGAAAGCAGGTTAGGGTGCCATAGGTGCTTTGAGAAAGCATAAGAAATAAGGCAAATAAAGAGTGAGCTTTTGGCTGGTCATCCTGTAGCCAAAGTTGCAGTGAATTCTAGGAGCAGATGACCTTGCTGAATTTTGGTCTGGATTAGGTTTATTCGGTCTGCCTTCTTTTGTTTCCTGTTATTTCCACATGTTGAACAGTGAAGCAGCTGGGTGAAGCTCACAGACAGCCCTGGCACATCACAGTCACTGTGCCATGACTGAATGCAGTCTGCTTACTTGGGGAACAGCATCCTGCATCTTCTGCCTTGTCTGTGTGCTCGGAGCATGGCTGCGTGGTGCACAGAATGTCATTTGGATATCAGGCTTCCTTGTATGTGGGCAGCCTATGAGCCTTCCTGTTCTGTTTGCTAAAAGCCCAAACTCCAGCTGAGAAATGTTACTGAGTACAGCAGGTCTAGCAGCCACGGCTGAGATGAAGCAGCATTCTTGGTCTCTGTAGGCCAGTAGGCAGTTTTTATCAGGAGAAAAATACTTGGGAACTGCCAAAGCCCAGCCACATTCTTCCCCTTTGTACCACCTTTTTCTGTTTCTCGTTCTGGAAAACGTCCTTTTATAACCACTTCCTCCTCCCATATGGGGTCCTAGCATGGTGCAGGTGTGAGACAGCTGTTCTGCCATTAGGGAGAGCACTCAAAAACACACTGGCTGTGGGGTTATTGCCCTGCTTCACACCGGTGACCAGGCAGAAGGCTTCAGAAGGAACCCCCAGACGCTCCCAGAGCTGTGATTTCTTTCCCCTTATAGTCCCTTTTCCCTCTTTGTGAGTTTCTCCTTTGTCAGCCTCCTTTCGTTCACTGCAAACCATCAGCTGCTGTTGATGTACCCTTTCCTACTGATAGAATTACCCGAGTAATTTCTAAATGAGTCATCAGATCAGATAAGGAGGGAGGGGATTGTTTTATCTGCTTGGTTTTTCATATTATCAGGTTAGCATGCTGGAGGTGAAACCACTTTTGTGTGCATTACTGCCACTTGTTTCTGGCCACTTCTCATTTCCTCACCCTCTGAGCTTGTTTGTTAAGGACTGGTGAGGACTGGCCATCTGCATGCACACACACCCCAGGAAATGCATCTCCCTGTGCTGCTAGGGATGTCTACCCTTCCCTCCAGGTACTGCCCCAAGCAGCTGCCTGCATACTGCCACCTGCCCAGGCATGGGGAGCTGGCAGGGCATGGGAAGCTCAGACGCACGCAGCAGAAACCAGCAGCAAAGGCACAGAGCAAGATGGGGAGTGGTGTGTCTGGGCTTTGTGCTGTGCTTGAGTCAGGCTGTGTGCAGTTGTTGATGGCACAGCTCCCACACGGACACAGAAAGCAGCGTCTGGTTCATCTCAGTCTCAGCAGCAACTGTGTGGTGCCCTTCCTTGGCCTCAACGCTTGGAGGGGTCCTGGTGCCCTCATCTACAGCACGCATTGTACTGTAGGGATTCAGGTATCAGATGAGAACACTACTACTAGAGGTAAATAGGGTCTTGGCACCTTTTCTTCCATTGGGTGCTTTACCATCTCAGTGCACATCTCATGAGTGGGTGGAAAATAGGTAGCAATCAGTGCCTGCTCGTGAGCTGTGATCCTGGAACAAACAGCTGGCTCTGTCCTGCCGCTGCAGTCCTTGAGGAAGCACGGTGCTGCACTGCGCCCTTGGTCAACAGCAGCTGTTTCTCAGGAAACAGAGGTCAGTGCTATGATTGCCACACACTGTAAGCACTGTAGACCACAAGCAGTAAGGTAACATTTAGCAAGAGGACTTTATTTTGAAACAGAACGCTAGAACAAACTACGGGGAACACAAATCCCTGTTTGTGAGCAGTATCCAGGAAGCCCAGTGATGCTGCCCCACATTGGTTAAGTTGCACTGTCCTCAGCTCCTGCTCTGGCAGGGGCAGCTGTCCTATGGATGCACTGAAAAACTGGGGCTCACTCAGCTCTCTGGAAAGCTGCGGGCCAACTCCCTGTATTTGCTAAGCCTTGCCAAGATGTATGGCCACGCCAGCTTGCAGAACAGTCTCTTTTGTGCAGATGGGCCACAAGATGGTGTGCTTCAAGCAACAACTGGCAGTGAGAAAGGTACTGTTCTGAGGTGCAGCTGCAGTGGGTTACTGCACTGTACAGGAGTCGGCCAGGACACAGCTGCTAGCCTGGCACTTGCTGCAAACTATTCATGAGCTCAGGAGAGGGACACAGAAACCACTGTGGAAGTCGGCAAATCAGCATTGGAACAGATAGTGCTGCTGTGGGAGACAGCATTCCCCAAAAGCCCTGTTTTATGCTATTCAGAACACTCCTTGGAACCTTCTGCAGGATGAGGGTGGCTTGACGTTGACGTTGCTGTACAGCCCAACTTCCCCACCACGCTACCTTGCAGTTTTTCTGCATTCACTGACGGCAATCTGTGGTTTGTGGGCTGCACTCGTCTGTTCTAGAGAACGTAATTTGAGGCTTGTTGGTGATGTGTGCTGAAATATCAGGTATTGTAGGGAACAGCTGAACAGCAAGAGGCCAAGAAACCCTGCATACTGCCACCTGCCCAGGCATGGGGAGCTGCCAGGGCATGGGAAGCTTCACCAGGGAATGGTGAAGCAAGCTTCCTGCCAACTGATTTAGTGACAAACAAAACCATAAAACGAAGAGCAACAGACAACGGGAAGCACCCATCTGACCTCAGCCAGGCTTCAGTGTCTTGCCTGTCTGCTTCTGGCTCAGAAGCCAAACCATTAACTGCTTGAGACAGGTGTTAGCAGTGCCATGGGGTATCTTCAGTGCAGGATCTTGTCATCCTCTTTGGGAAGGAAGGAGAGTGCACAGGAATCTCTCCTCACTCCTGCTGGTCTGAACAGTTGGGCAGGAGAAGGAGCCATCAGCAGGGGTGCCACTGTGGCTTTGGCTCTGCTCTGATGCTGCAATGCAGGGATGAAATATTAATGTACCTTGTGGAAGGAGGGGTCAGCTTGTCCAACACTTGGCTGCATGCTGCCTCAGTGTGTTTGCCAGCTGTTCAGCACGCATCTTTTCAACAGCACAAGCTCTACTCACCTCGCTGCTTCTGCAGCTGTAAGTGAATGCTGCCCCTGCCATATGTGGCCTCCCTGTCCCATCAGGGCAGCGGGGAGCTGCCCTCTTCCCTTCTGCAGGAAGCAGATCGGGAGCACAAGATGGAGGCTGTCTGTGGTGGTCAGAGACAAAAGCCGTACCTGCTTTGGCTGATGCCGCTCTGGTCGCTGCTCCCTGGGCTGGGGCTGCTGCCTGTGCAGCGGTCTGTACAGCATACTTTTCAGGTATTTATAGAGGT